AACCTCTACTATTCTGCACTTTATTTTATGTCTGTGCATTAAGTTTTAAGGAATTGAATGAAACCCACTTGCATATACCCTTATCCTATGAGTCTTACTAGTATAGCGAGGATCGTATAGATTCCTATGCTATAGGATCCGAGTAGAAATCAGTGATTATGCATCACTCACGAGAGATAGAAAAGATACTATTATTGTCATTGTTATACTACTATCATAATATATATATATATATATATATATATATATATATATATATATATATATATATATATATATATATATATATATCAGAATGATAATTGGAGACCGGGTGAAATGGTACTTGGATCTGGACTTGTTTAGGCATTCGAGTGAGGCTCAGATTGCACTTGTTCCGCCTGTGTCGATTGAGGACCGTCCGTTGCTGTGAATGGTAGTCAGGTCACAGACTTATTATCTTGAACACATACTTGCTTATGGGGTGGGAGACTTATCACTCTCTTGTCATGGGTTCCGGCTTTTTGGACCGACTTTTGGGGTGAGTATTAGGTGGAGTTCTAAACACCATCTTTGAGACCGGGTCTCAGTGTTGGAGGCTTGGAGGCCAAGTTTGACGGGGATCTGGACCCCTTGATAGGAGTGGGACGAGTTGGTTTACATTTGTGCTCGTGATACAAGCGGGCGTGTGTTTGGGGTACCAAGCTGTGATACATTTATTTGCGAATCGTCGTTTCTTGAGACGGTACCGACTTGGCTATGGTCTAGCACCGTAATAAGAACTGGGATTTGAAAGGTGATAAAATGATTATGATTGCTTACCACTTACTTGAAAGTAGCATAGGAGCTTACCTAGAATGATTAGCTAATTAACTACAAACAACTAAACTTGGAACATAAGGAAGCACTATTAATAATGCTTCCTGTAAAGACAATAAAACAGCAAGTCAAATAGCATTGCATATCCTTGGAGTATCTTATTTTCTCCTATCGGGTAAGTCTTGCTGAGTACAATTGAGTACTCAGGGTTTTATTCCCCTGTTGCAGGTGACAGGTACAGTTGAGCTACACTTGTGTGTGGAAACCTCCTGGTGGGCTTAGTGGGGATTTTCTGACGTTGCTGACGTAGGTGTTTATTTAAAAAATTTATGAAAATATTTTACAAAGGAAAAAATTACAACCTGTTATCATCTCCTTGTATTTAAAGGTTCCTCGTAAAGCTCTTAAAATTGTAGTTTATGAATTTTATTTTCGCTGAAACTCTGACACATGTACAATTCCGCTATTGTTTTATGTAATGTAAGAAATGGCGAAAAGATGTAAACTTTATACTCTCATTTATGATCCTGACGAAAAAATGTGGAGTTTTGAGTTCTTTCACGGGGTGTGTTTGACAGAATTGCAATAGTGTAGTGTCATTGCTTGAGTACTCAGTGTCTAATAAAAGATAAATATTCTTGAAAGAGTATTAGATTAGACGGTTGTGCCACGCATCGAAAGATAAATACTTTTGAAAGAGTATTAGATTAGACAGTTGTGCCACGCATCGAGCCCGTGACGAGCTCTCCAGTCCGCCATTGGAATATCTTGACTCGGAGTGGAGCCCAATGCAAGTCTTCCAAATTAGCCGGTGACCTCTCAACGTAATTGCGTCGCTATGAAGCATGGCGTATGCAGACTTGGCCGAGTATGTACCATCAGGTGTCCATCGCCAAACTAGCCTGTCCGGCTGATCGCTCAGGTTGATCTGTTCCAGGATGTTCCATAGCTCCAGGTACTCCTCAATAGCGGATTGGGAAAGACCGCCGGAGATGACGCGCGCCCATTGTCAGTTAGTTAGCGCCTCCCTTACTTATTGCCGTTGCCGGACTTGGTTTGGGACTAGCTGGTAAAGGTATGGAGCGAGGTCGCTAATGGCATCCCCTCGATCCACTTGTCTTCCCAGAACAAGGCCGTTCGACCATCTCCGATCATGAAGTAGGTTGAAGCCCGGAAGAAGGCCTTAACCTCGGGAGCTGTTTTGATCGGCAGTGAGCTCCACGCCCGATCTTGATCTGTCTTTTCTAACCAGAGCCATCGAGTTTGCAGTGCGTACCCCTGTAGCTTCAAGTCGCTGACGCCCAGACCGCCTAGCTCTGTTGGCTTGCAAACCGTCAGCCAGGCTACCATACATTTCCCACGGACAGAAGCGTCACTGCCAACCCAAAGACACTTCCGGCATATGGCATCAATTTCCTTCCTTGCCCAGGTTGGAAGGTTTTCTGCCATCATTGCATATATTGGGACTGCGCGCAGCACTGATTTGATCCATACAAGACGTCCACTTCTTGCCATGAGTGAACCATGACAGGGGTAGCTTCCTTGCCACTGCCTCAACGACTGACTGAAACTGCGCTTTTGGAATTGGCCTGATGCTCAGAGGGAGGCCGAGATATTTGAGTGGGAACGGCTGCACTTTACATCCGAGTATGTTGATTATCTCTTCCAAGGCGTCTTCACCACCATAGATTGGAGTAATGGAGCATTTGGCCAGGTTGGTCTTTAGGCCGGAGGCTTCCCCGAAAATGGACAGAATCTCTTTCACCGCTTTGCCTCCTGGACGATTGACCGGATGAAGAGGATCACGTCATCAGCGTAGATGCTGCACCGGTATTTGATCTCCGGCAGCTCTACTCTTCTGAGTACCCCATCTCTGCATGCTTGAGGAAGAGCCTATGCAGGATGTCCATAGCGATAACGAAGAGCAGGGGCAACAGGGAGTCTCCTTTGGCGTACCCCTCTGAGATGTGCTATTGGAGGCCCCTGATGTCCATCTGGGCGAAGCCGTGCTTAGTAGGGTCGCTATCCACCTCCGCCAAGTAGCGCCAAAGCCAATATTCATATATTTTAGCGAGTAGGACATCTGAATAGGAGTAAAGGCTAATTGAGGCGAAATTAGGCCTCCACTCCTTTGTCCTATCAACATTTTACAGCCTGTTCGCTTGCTCGTAAACGATCGTAAATTTCTAGCTGGGAACAGTGTTTTTCTCTCACACCAAACCAAAGAGCCAGCAGTAAATAATCCACGATACGATACGGCCTCCCGAACAGGCTGTTAGCTAGTGACTAGTGTTCTTCTTGTCCATCAAGATAACGCCATAAACAATCTACCAAGCGTTAGAGCATCTCCAAGAGTTTTCTATTTTTTCTCCTAAAAACTTATAGTTTGGTAACTCCTAAAAAGATTGGGGGAGGAAAAAAGAAGGTCATCTCCAAGAATTTCTAATAAATGACATCTAAAAACATCTACGTACATCGCACAAGCCAGTGAGCAGTGAGTGAGTGTGTCAGAGACTGATTGGAGCAAGCAAGGAAGCAAGCAAGGCCTTGTTTAGATCCCATCAAAATTCCAAGTTTTTTCACTCTCTCTCCATCACATCAATTTTTAGACACATGCATGGAGTATTAAATGTAGGTAAAAAAATAATTAATTGCAGTTTGATTGTAAATCACGAGGCGAATCTTTTGAGCCTAGTTAGTCCATGATCGGACAAAGTTTATCAAATACAAACGAAACATGCTACGTTGTGGGATTACAAAAATTTGCAATCTAAATAAGGCCAAGCGTGCGGTGGGGTACTGAACGCCGGACCCGACCCTTGGCGGCGTCATAAATCGGCTGGTTGTCGAACTTGTTGGCCCACGCCAGCACAGACGCCGCCGCGCGTGGCGTCGAAGAAGGTCTTGAGGCAGCGTACGCGTGGCGTGAGTCCGGCCGCCGCGCGCAAGATCGTCGTCAGCGCTTCGGGCTCCGCCCGGCACGAACGCAACGCGGCCGCGTCGTCGTCATCGCCCCACCATGTAGTAGTCTGGGCGTGTACATCACGCGCGCAAAGACGCGCCGCACACCCGTCGCCGCCGCCGACGCGTCAAGCCCGGCGTTATCACGCGCTCAAGCACCGGGAGCAGTCCGAAAGCACTCCACCATGCCCGCTGGGCGCGTGAGGGGCTTGGCCAGTAGTGGTGGTGGTGGCGCTCCAGCGGAGGGAAGTCCGCGCTCCGGTACACGAGCGTGGATGCCACGCCGCGGACCTCGGCGGACACCGCGACATGCCACAGCCCGTCGTCGCCGAGGGAAGGATACGCGGAGTCGGAGGTGCGCGCAAAGTTACGTGGATTGGCTTGGCTTTTTGAAGTGCCTAAATTTTAGGAGTCAAGATTAGGAGTTGTTGGAGAGTGGTTTTTCTCCATCTTTCTAAAAAAATAAGAATTAAGAGGGAATTTAGAAAACTTTCGGAGATGCTCTAAAACACCGACTACACTAGGTGACCGTGAAACGCCATGGTCACACGGAGGTGGATGGCGCATCCCTTGAACTACCTTAGTTTGATAGGCTCTTGAGTGAACTTTACTCCCTCGGAGTGTCACTATTAGTTGCTAGTCTTGTACTTTTGGTTGCTATTTTTTTATGCTAAATTTGCTCGGGACACATTTGTTCTTATGGAATTATTATACTTGATCTTAAACTCTATGGGTAATTCTTTCTAGTCTAGCTAGTCTCGATCGACTTAATTTTGGTAAACCTATGCTTGCAGGGATTACATGTCGTAACCTTATCTTCTCCGTAGTAAGGCCCCGTTTAGATCCAATTTTTTTTTTTTTTTTGGTTTTGGCTACTGTAGTACTTTCGTTTGTATTTGGTAATTAGTGTCTAATTATGGACTAATTAGGTTTGAAAGTTTTATCTCGCGATTTCTCACCCAACTGTGCAATTAGTTTTTTTTATCTATATTTAGTATTTTACGTATGTGCCGTAAAATTCGATGTGACGGAGGGTTTTGGGAACTAAACAGACCCTAAAACGTGTTTGCACGGGCGCGGAGGGAGAAAAAAAAGACAGCCTACTCGCACCGGTTTGGTTTATGAACCGTTGGACTCGAACCCGACTAGCATCGACTCAGCTGCCACCTCGCCAGTCCTCCCCTCACCTTCTTGCGCCGGAAGAAGGAAACGCCGGCGATTCCAACCCCAGCCAGGCGGAGATGGCGGAGCCATCGGCCTCCTCCGCGGCCGCCACCGCCGCCGCGGAGCAGACGGACGCGGAGAGGATGGATGCCCTGGACCGGATGCTCATGCGGCTGGCCCTCGCCGACGACGCGCGCCTCGCGCCGGTGCTCGCCCGCGTCCTCCCCTACGCCGTCACCTCGCTGGCCTCCCCCGCGCCGGCCGTCCGAAAGCTCGTAAGCGCACCGCTCTTGTCCCCTCTCCTCCAGTCCTTACCCGATCCGGATTTCAGTGAGAGACATTCGTGCCGCTCGTCCTATTCCCCTCAGTTGGTTTAGTTGGTTCCTTCGTGATGTTATGTATTGGATATTGCTCATGGGGTGACATGTGAGAGAGAATTTTTAGGTTTGGGCGTGGCACAACTGAGAGCGTTGTACCTATTATGTCTGCGGCAGTTGCTTCTATTAGTTTCTTCAGAGGGAAATTGCTTGTATTATTAGTGGCTGGCTCATACAATTACACGATTAACACATTCTCTGTAGTCTTAGCTGTTTATTTTGTACTAGGACTACTAAAAAAAAATACTTGGCCTCCTTTCACGTGGTGCCCTGCTACTAGCCTACTAGTAGTCACTAGTCAGTACTATATTTTTTTGGTTTAAGTTTTGTATGGGCCTTTCTAACGTTATGTGGTTTTATTTTTGGGTTTCATTAGGTTATGGAAATTCTTAGTCACATTAACAAAAGGGTGAAGCACAGGCCTGAGATTTCATTGCCAATGCTGGAGTTATGGAAGATCTATACTGAATCTACTTCCGCAACAATGGTCCGAAACTTTTGTATCATATATATTGAGATGGCGTTTGAACGCCTGCCAACCGAGGTACTCTCTTTTCCTTTGCTAGTCTCTAGTTTTCTCTAGTGCTGCTTCACCATTTCTGCAAAGTTGATTGTGTCAACTTACCATTCTGTAACAGGAGAAAGGGAACATCGCACCTGATCTTTTAATCAATATATCAAATGTTCCAGCCCAGCATCAAGGGATCATCTTGAGACTTGTAACAAAGGTCACCTTTTTATTGAATGTCTTGTAAAGTGCTGTTTGTATCATCCTTTTTTTCCTTTGCGTCTCTACATTCTGTAGCTTTTCGCATGTTTTTTCCTTACAAAAATTGCATCTATATTAGTCAGGCTATTGGCGAATGTAACACCCATAAGGTGGACGAGACTATTGCGTCAAAATATCAAGTAATAACTGAAACCAAGGATGGTCTAGTATTTGCTGAATTCTGTTTTCACACATTATTGTATCAAGCACCACCTCAAGGGTATGTATTCCTTGCTAAATTAGGTAAAACCATAGAACACAATTTGAGCGTCGGACATTTGACTGCTATTGAATTGTACAGTACTGGATGCCCAGCAGGACTGTCAGTTGCCCAATCAGAACGTGTCACCGGAAAACAACCCCTAAAAATCGACGTACTTGCATCAAGAAAGGTAATTAAAAATGTGTAATCATGTCTGCACAAGTGCATATACATATTTTAGTTGTTACTACCTGCACAATGCGCTTGGTCTTCTCATGGTTGAATTTCTTGTTCAATCTCTTCAGCTAGGAATCTTGAATGTCATTGAAGCTATGAACTTCGCACCTGAGATTGTGTACCCTCTTTATTTATCTGCTTCTTCAGATAGGTATTCTATTTTAGAATTTTGTCTAAAATATATTGGAATTTTACGTGGACCGATAATCATGCTAACCACTATCTTAGTACAGCCAAGAGCCAGTTTCTAAGAAAGGAGAAGAGTTCTTAAAAGCGCAAAGCTTCAACAGTAAATTTAGAAGATCCCAACCTTATCAAGAGACTGTTCACACTGTTCAATGGTATGTACTTTGCATTTTCTTGGGTTTGGATCAATGCGGTTTAAATTTCAATTCGAGTACTTTTACTATGTTCGTCTCTTGCCATCTATGTGGTGTGTAAGTCATTCCACATTTAGTCTGAATGCTTAGATGGGTTTCTATCAATTGTTGTTGTTTTAATTGTGGTTTCATTTCTTTTTTACGTGTTGGTTTTTATGGTCCATTGGAGAGAATGCATATGTGAGTGGATGATTGCAAACCTGTTCTCATGATTATGCAGCCCTTCTTGAACTCCCAAACCCGCCTTTCACAAGTATGTGTACCCATATAGATGCCTACATATGTCCACACAATTGGCTACCCACTGACATGGTTGAATGCCAGCATGCTGAACACATGCATAGTTGAATGCTGTGCGCACTTGTGTCGGCACTTCTTATTCTTCTTTGCCATTAAGAAATTGATAGTTCCATTGCATGTGACCCCTTTGTGTTTTTATCTGTCACTTTCTATCTAAATATTTTGTGGTAAGTCTTGCTCCATGATAATGTTCTCTTGTGAGACAGGTACTGTGGGTGCAGAAAATATAGCTGCAGAGCTGAAAGTTTCCCCAGCACATGCTTCGTTGCGTATGCGGCTTATGAGCGTTTTCTGCCGATCAGTTGCTACAGCAAATGCATTTCCACACACACTTCAATGCATCTTCGGCTGCATCTACGGTATTCTGTTTTGTACCCCACCTTTTTTTAGTTTGCGTTTAATTGGTCTTATCCCTTCTGATGCCTAATTGTTACATTGTAATAAGATAGGTTGTTAGTAACTGTAGTTTTTCCATACTTTATATTTATATCATTAATGAGCTGCATGTCTATGTAAGCCACTGAAATGTTTTTCCAATGTTTTGTTTTGAAAATTTCCTTTTCTTTTGGCGCCAATGTCTTTTTCAAAAAAAAAAAAAAAACTCCACTAATTTATGGGAAGAATGTAACCTAGTAACTTTTGTCTTACTGAAACTGAACATAGATGTGTATTGAAGATGAAGCTGATTTTTTTGGTTGATGTTTCACTGTGTTTTTGTTTTCTACCCTAGTCATATGGAATAAACTGCGACATCTTACACAACACTACTTTAATCAAGGGTCATGGTCAACTGAGATTCAGACATTTTATTAATTCTGCTCAAGGATCATGCTCATCGTGGTTCCAGAAAGCATTTCCGTTGCCCTCGATGAGTTAGTGTTTGGTCTTTGTTGTTCTTAATGAGATTATGCACTGGCATTTCGAACTCATATTTTTGTGAACCTATTATTACTAATAACTCTGTCTCCCCATTCTTACATTTCATTGTTGGTAGAACCATCCTTTTGCTGTTTCTATAAGATAATAACTTGTTGGTAGAACCATCCTTATGCTGTTTCGATGAGGTAATAACTTAACTTCACCATTTCGGTATGTTACTAAATCCGTCTTATCTTTCATTGTGTTTCGCCTGTAGGAAGTGGAACTACTTCAAGGCTGAAGCAGTTAGGAATGGAGTTCACTGTCTGGGTTTTCAAACATGTATGTATGTGCACTTCGCATGTTCTAACAAGGAGTAGCTAAACTTCTAGAATTAGTGACTTATTCTGTTGCTTTTAATTTGGCCACCTATGGTAATTCTTTTGCTCCATTTTTAAACTAATGTAATTTATGATGTAATTGTTAATTTAGGCAGTATCTGACCAGCTAAAGTTAATCGGTCCGGTTATACTTAGTGGAATATTGCGCTCCCTTGATGGTTCTTCAACTGCGGAAACAGGTCTTTCAACTATTTATCAGCTTTATCTATTCAGATCTAAATGTGGTTTATCTTTGATTTTTTATGGTTTGTTGAGATAATTGTTGATGGCCAAATTTCCAATATTGAAATGATTGAAAAACATTGAACATGTATTGATTTTCTTCTCCTCCAGATTCTTCCGGTAGAGATACCAAAATATTTGCATACCAGGCTATTGGTTTGCTTGCCTCTCGCATGCCAAATTTATTCAGGCATGATATTTTCTTAAAACTTTCTTGGCTCTTGTTTCATCTATGTTATATTAAGGAATGACATTTCTACCTCTCTATTATATTGCAGTGATAAAACTGACATGGCTATACGACTCTTTACTGCTTTGAGATTGGAGGATCAATCTCTTCGTTTGACAATTCAAGAGGCGGCTACTTCCCTTGCTACAGCATATAAGGTAACTCTGGAGAGCATGTTGCTTTCTACAAAGTGTGCTTCACAAAGATGATTTTAAATTGTAATTAATTGATCATTTATACAGTAATTTTTTGGTTTAAATGGTTGATGCAACTTGTAAATGCTAGATTATTGTAAATGGTTGATGCAAAGAAGTCCATATTAAAACCTTTTGGAGGCAAGGAGACTTCAAAATATGTCTAGGCAGTTTCCATTTTTGAACTTCTGATCTACTCTCAGAGACCTTACCTAGTTACCTTAATAATTAATATTGTTACCCCAACTTGTTTGGGACTTAAAAACTTTGTTGTTGTTGTTGTTGTTGTTACTTTGATAATACTTAGGTCCTGTTTCGATGTTGTAGTTTTTAGAGACCAGAGATATGCAAAACCACTGTTTTGCAAAAGATGTCTAGAGTAGAGTTTCTATAACTCCAAAAGGCTACAGTTTTAGCAGTATCATGTTTTCAAAACTACAAGGTTTGTTGTATGCAAACACCTCAAAGTTTTCTGAAACTAATGTATTTAAATAAAACCATGGTATTTTTTAAGTCTAAAACTCCAAAAATACTTTGCATCCAAGCCTTAGGGTTCACAATTACATATCAACCCAGTGGCATTTCATGTGTGTTGGCAACCCTTTATGCTATTGCTCATAAGTAATAAGTGAGCTTCAATACATTAGAATGTAATTGATGCTTATCTAGCAGGATAAGTGTTTCACAAAAAAGTATATTTTAGTGTGCACATAAGATAGAAACAACATAAAACACAGATTTTCTATCATCCAGAACAGAACCAATAGCAATTGGGTACTGTGTTTTCATTTTGCAACATTTTTGCATAGCTTTGTTCTATTTGCTGCATCAGTGACTTTACCATGATATCTATGCATCCAATTTTTCTCCAGCTTTAACTAGAGAATTGTCAGTTAAGTTTATTCTCTTTTTCTTGACCTTAATATCAGCGTGCTTCAACGATAGTACTGAAGGATCTTGAGGCGCTTCTTCTGGAAAACTGTGAAGCGGTAAAGTTGTTCTTAACATCATAGGTTCTCAAACCACTATTGTGCTAGTCCTTTGTTCTCAACATTTATATATGGTTTCATCATTGGTGATAGTTTTGAATGCAAATAAATTTTAGTATGAGGGCGCAAGTTCAAAACCTAAGTCCATGCTTTAGGAACTTGAAGGAAGGCCCATGCTCCATTTGCTAAACAAAAGTGCAATTATTCAAAACAATCTGTAAAGCTCATTACCTGATGTATCAGGTGAATATTGCAAAATAAACCAAGTAAATTTATCCAGGGTTATTGACCAGTTCATGTGAATAGAAAAGCACCTTCTCTTCACCAAATCAGTTTGATTTTCTGAATATGATATTTCGATTTAGATTTATTCCAGCCACTAGTACTATTAAAGTATTATGCAAAAGAAGTTAAAAGTTCAAACAGCTGGTCTCAGAACAAATTTCTGACCAAGTTTTTTTACTTCAAATAACCATGCCAAATTTTTAGTATTAGGAGAGGTTAAAGATTTTAGTTTTTAGTCTGAGATATGCTCATAGCCACCCTAGGCAAGAAGTCAGATTTTTTATCCTTCAACTATGGCTCAAATTCTCAGTTTAGATCTCATCTTTGGAGTCGAAACATAACTTTTTCCCACCCTTTTCTAAGATCACAAGTGCATTCGTATCTCATGTACAGCCTTGAGAACTTAGTGCATTAAATGTCTCTTATTTTAAATTTTGCATAATTGCTTGATCTTGCACATTTTTGTTATATAATTTTTGAATTTTTTCTCAATCAAGGAGCAAAGTGAGGTTCGCTTTTCTGCTATAAGATGGGCAACAACATTATACGATACACGGCACTGTTCAAGCGGTATATTTGCATGATTGGGGCTTCAGATGTTAAACTGGACATAAGGTTGGTTACAAAAGATATTGGATATACATTATTTTGGCATAATGCTTTGATGTTGTGGTTGCTTTTCTGTACTATTATAGTAGCGCGTCACAGGTAGCTCCATATACTTTATAGTCCACATCACTTGGGAAATATATATATTTTAGAAGTTTCCAAACATCAAATGTCCCAACATTGTTGATGCTTTTAGTATTCGTTATAACTTTTTTCTAGCTATGTATCCATGTAATTAACCATAAGGTTCACTCATTTTGTAAAAGTTGCCCTATTGCTATGCATGCGTTAACTTTATATCCTGCAGAGTGCAGGCCATATTGGCATTCTTCTCTTTTCCTATACAAGTATACAGTATTCATGCGATTAGCATTTTTTTTTTTGGAATTGCAAGTTGAATATAAAGACTTCATTGTCATTTGTATGAGGTGGCGCTGTATATTATCATGAGACTTGTAGTTATACTTGTCACTTATCAGTCAGTGAAACCATTAGATTGATTTCAGATTGTAAAATCTGCTAGATCAATAACTGTTCACCTGACTCAATTTCATAAACCCTTTTTGCTACACTCGACAAATGTTTCTCATGTCCTTTAGATGGATGAAAGTAGCAACGTCCTTCAGTTCTGACATTTTCAAATGACTAGAGAATAATTGGTGATCTTGCTTTGGCATTTGGTACAATACATTTTTGTGAACAAGAAACCATTATGATGCTGATACTTCAGCAGATTTTATCAATGCATGCCTTTTTAACTTGTACATGTTTAGCCATCTATGTATCCTTCTCTTATTAGTTTTGTTGTCACAGGGAAATGGCTCTAGCTGGTCTAAATCTTATGAATGATGGGAGGCAATCATCTGCAGGGTCTGGTGATTTCAGCTATCCTGATGTAAAGGAGATGATAAATTATATCTGCTGTCAGCGACCTCAGTTGCTGCATTCTGATGAGCAGAGAAATGGAAAATTACTTTTCCTTCAAAAACATTTGTTTCAATGATCAAGTTTCTGATGAAGTGCTTTGAGTCTAGTGATAGCTCAAATCTTTTTGCAAGATCCATCTGATTCTGCTGTAGCAAAATGTGTGTCATCTTAGAACATGCCATGTCATATGAAGGGTCTAGCGAACTGCATCGCTGGCCTTGAAGTCATTGGTTGACCTTTCTTCTCGTGAGCCAAAGGTTTCCATTTGGTGCCGTTTATTAAAATAAACTTCATGTTTTCCTTTTCCTCAGATTTTTTTTTAAACTTGCACTTTATACTTGCAGTTGGTGTCATTGCGGTATGCAGAACGCATAAATTGGCTAAGAACTCTTTTGGGTCATGTTGATTCTGATGCTCGTGAAGCTGCGTCACGCCTGCTTGGTATTGCTTCTTCAGCTCTTTCAACCTCTTCTGCACCAAGTCTTCTGTCTGAGCTCACTTCAACACTGAGTCAAAACCGTTCATCAAGGTATGAAAAATGAAAACTTTAAGACTGACATGTCCTTTGTGTTGCCACACAACTTCTGATTCATGTGACTATTTGATGAATTTGGCCAGATTTGAAAATTACCATGGAGTTCTGTGTGCGATCGGGTACCTAACAGCTGGTGCTTTGAAGCAATCTTATGTACGCTCATTTTATTCATCTCCTAACTTTGTAGCTTGTTTACTGATTTCATTCTCTGATGTGTCTTTATCTGAAATTTGGCATGGTCTCTTAGATTGCTCTGCCTTGAAACTGCATCTTGAATATACTTATCATATTTGCTAGAGTGACTTGATATTGATACTGTTAGAATTATGGTCCATGAGAACCTGTATGTTACTCTGGTATTAGTAGTTGGAGAAATCGAGTAACATGTGGTAGAATGTATGTTTATCTAATATGGGGAAGGAAGAGAGTAACACTTTTCTTATTACAAGTCAAAATACTTTATATTGGGAGATTAAAAGGAAGTACGAAGAACACATTTCTGATTTATTTGTGTCACATCAATATTTGATTATTTTCTCAAAACAATAGAAGTACAGAACATTGCTAGATTTCTTTTTTAAAAATTACTCTCATATTCTTCATCTACACTTTGTTGAGCATCAATGCTTGGTTGTGCAAGTCAATAGATAGCTTTGCTAAACATTACTTCCTCCTTTCCAAATTATAAGGCGTTTTGGCTTTTCTAGATTCTAGATACATTGTTTTTGATATGTATTTAGACATAGTGTATATAAAGCTACATATTTAGGAAAGCCAAAACGTCTTATAATTTGGAATGGAGGGAATATTGCACTCCTAGAAAGGGTTGTTGGAATCCCGCTGGTCTGCACAGGTGAGCAGCAGCTCACTCACACACACACACACACACACACACACACACACTTTGGGCTGGTGGTAGAAGAAGAAGTTGAGCACAGCACACTCACGCACAGCAAGTGCAGCAACTGAACTGAACTAGGACTGCTGCTGCACTACACTTGCTTGCAGACGTTTCTGGACAGCAGCAGATTATCTTACAAGGGTGGCCTATTAGTGTTGGAAGCAAGGGCTATAACTGCACAACTGTAGAAGAAATATCTGCACCATTACCCCACAAGTAACTAGCCCCTAAGCGTCAGTGAGCCAAAACTATAACTTTTTTTTCTTTGAACATGCCGGAGAGCTGCATAAAATTATATTAAGAGAGAGAAGGAGTTTGAATTTTGGAGAAATCTTAACACACACCCACTCACTCCTAGGCTTATGAAAACAGATGCTTAGTGCTAGATTGGAGCCAAAACTATAACTGGACCTGTCTGATAGATGTCTAATTTTATGTTTTTGGATACTTGTGCCCACTTCACAAGTTTGACTGCCTATGATGCAATTAATTTGGCTGCCATCATGTGGCTTAGAAAACTTTCTTCCTAACACATTATTTTTATATGAATGCAACTAATTTGTATGTTTTTCACTTGAAGTTTTTTAATTTTGTTGTATTTGGAGTGCATATGCAGATATCTGAGGATATGGTAAAAATGTAGTTGATATTCTTGTAAAGTAGTTATCTCTGAAGGTTCGACATTAGCATCTGTTGCAATGGAATCTCTTGGTCACATTGGTCTCGTTGTGCATTGCCTTCCATCAACCAAAACTCTTCTACAGGTTAAACTTGTTAATCAAACCTATACTGCTTATGAGTTGTGCTATTCACCATCTATGATGCTATTTATTTTAATTATTTTTGCCTTCAGGTACACTATTAAGCGTTCTCCGTGAGAGGCTGACTAAGCTTCTTTCTGAAAATGATACTAAAGCTCAACAGAAAATTCTTGTATCATTGGGGCACATATCTTGGAATGAGATGTCCTTTCCTCACCTGAATGATGCATTAGACTTGATTTTAGCCTTTCACGTTCTAAGGTAGTGGCACAAAATCCAAACTTTGCAGCTAAAATATTACCACTATTCTTTGGAATAAATAATAACATTCTTAAATTATGCTTGTTCAGGTGGAAGATGTACTTTTTGCTGCTGGGGAGGCTTTATCTTTCATATGGGGGAGAAGTTCCTGTGACAGCAGATGTGATACTGGAGCGAACTTTGTTTCCCTTTCCCAGGCCACAAACTATCTTACCGGTGATGCATCTCTAGTCTCGAGTAACTCCTATGAAAAAAAAGTGCTTGTGAAGAAGCACACTCAGTTACTGCGAGACGAAATTATTAAAAAGTTGTTTGAAACACTAATTTATAGCAGTAGAAAAGAAGAACGCTGTGCAGGTACTGTCTGGTTGGTCTCACTGACGATGTACTGTGGCCGACATAAAAAATCCTAGAACTACTTCCCGCAAATCCAGGTTTGTCAACCAAGAATAAGATACCTAGATTATTAAGGTGACCTTTGTACATTTTAAACTTTCTCTAAACTGTCTCAGTGCATTAGAATCTGTAATCATTATACTGTGATGTCCATATGGTATTTTAGTGCCAGTAATCTACAGTGATTTAGGCATGAAGCTAACTTTGAGTAGAAGTACATTAGATGTGTACCCCACTTAAAAACTGAACTAGCTTTGATTCATTTTGGGAGTTCTTACTAGGGTTTATGTGCCAATCTATGACTGTATTTCAAATTTAACGCTTTCGTGTGGTGTAAAAAAAATAGACATAGGGTATCTCACCTTTTGATTGAAGTGAGCTGAACTGCTTATGCATATACTGGTGAAATATACTTCTTTTCTTCAGCTAGCACAGTTGTTGCTTGGAGGATATAGGTCACCTTTAGTTTTAGTTTAGTCTAATATTTGATTGCTTTATTTGTTCAGATAGTCATTTAATGTTTCCCACCAGAGTTCTTCCTTCTTTATTGACAAATGTAAATTTCATTTCTTTGTTGTTTCTGCTATTCACGTGTTTGAACCTTGATTGCTTCTCTTTGGGTTTCAGCTCTAGCCTACCCCAACTTGTTTGGGACTTAAAGGCTTTGTTGTTGTTGTGTTGTTGTTGTTGTAAATTTCATTTCTTTCATGGAAGCCCTTTCACATCTTCTTGGTGATCCAAATGAGCTTACATGAGATTTGGCATCTCAAGGCATGAGTATGTGTGTATGAGCTTGGTGATGCATCTATGAAGAGGAGCTGGTTCATGCTCTGGTGAAACACTGACTGGCGCTGCAAGAAAAAAAAAGCCATTAAGGTTCATGATTTTCTCAATTATATATTTTTCCTTAGTTGATAATGTTTCATCCGAAGGTAATTATGTTTTATGCACTTGCATTAGTTGATGGAGGATTCCGAGGTCTTTCAAGAAGGCACAAGTGGCAATAATCCTACTGGAGGAAACTTAGCACGTACAAGGAGCTGTGCAGTCTTGCCAATGAGATGGGGCAACCTGACCTGATATACAAGTTCATGGATCTAGCTAATTATCAGGCTGCTCTCAATTCTAAAAGGGGTGCTGCTTTTGGATTTTCCAAGATAGCCAAACAAGCTGGCGAGGCACTTCAACCTTATCTGCATACCTTAATTCCTAAACTTGTCCGTTATCAACACGACCCGATAAAAACATCCAGGTATCTAAGTTTGCACACTCATCACCATATGTGCCATTTTCTATGTTTCCTTTTTATTGGACTGAAATTAAACTATTTGGTTGACAAATGTACTCTTGTAAAACTACTTATAACCATGTAATATAGTCAGTATGATGTTGCCATTCTTTTTCATATGAGAAAGTAAGAAGCTGATGTGCTAAGCAAGTAATGCATCAAACAGCTCGACTAGTTAAGCATAACTTGACATTGATTTCCTTAGTTTAGTACATTTAAGTTATGCTGGTTTATTAAGGCACTATGATGACTTTCAGCATTATAACTAAACACTCTGTTTCCACATTGTGTTTATGCTATACTGTTGTATACTTTTCTATCCTGTAATCAGATTGCAGATAAGATTTCCTCATGTTTTTTTCTTGTTGTTGAGAAAATTTATATTAAATTTATTTAAACACTGCATGAATTTTGCATTATAACTCATTGAGATTAGCTTTATACCACAATAATAGTTTCCTAGTAGTCAATGTACTCCCATGCACAATCATAGTTCCAGAAATCATTATTTTCAAGCATCCTTTACTGTGAGTAGCAAGGTTTTGGTATAATGAACATCCATGCAACTAGTGCTTGAAATTAAGTAAAGCGTGGCCTTGGAACTCAGATCAGAAAAATAGATCAAACATATCTACTGATGAGTAACTGATATACATGTCAGCAGTCCTCTTATCCTTAGAGGGTCCCTCTCAGCAATCAGTTATTGCACTGTTTTCTGGTTGTCATTGATATACATCAATAGGTTATCTTATTGCATTCATATTTCTTAATAAGCTCATAGAGCCTTTCCTCCAGAGCTAATAGTTCCAGCTGCACCTTTTAGGATTCAATGGTACACATCTGGAAGTTAATTGTTTCAGATCCGAAAAAAGCAATAGATGAACATTATGATGCCATAGTAGAGGATCTATTGGTTCAATCTGGATCGAGGCTTTGGCGCTCACGAGAAGCATCCTGTCTTGCACTTGCAGACATCATTCAAGGTCGAAGATATAATCAGGTAACATTCATGGTGTTATGGAAATTCTGAATAGCTCAATATTTCATTTGACATGAGCTATATTAAAGTGTTTGTATGAATCTGACTTTGAATTTCTTTTCAGAACAATTACAACTCACCTTTTTTATTTGTTCTTTAGGTTTGTAAACATTTGAGAAAAATATGGACAACCACCTTCCGTGCAATGGATGACATAAAGGGAAACTATGCGAACTGCTGGTGACAGTTTGTGCCGAGCTGTAAGCTCATTGACAATTAGGCTCTGTGATATATCACTAACTTCTACTTCTGATGCAAGCGAAACAATGAACATTGTGCTGCCATACTTGCTTTCTGAGGCATACTCAGTAAAGTTCCAAGTGTTCAAAAAGCTGCTATTAGTTTGGTCATGAAGCTTGCTAAAGTATATTGATGGTAAACTTTAACAAGTTTAGTTGCAATATCTGCCATAATGAGTTATATTGAAACCATGCGATATTTCACCAAATTGATGAATTTTTTCTCTGACAATTGTGTTTCAACTCTAACATACTGACCACTGAGTGAACAATAGATCATAGAACTTTATCTCTATTCATATCCTAATCAAACATTGAAGTTCCTCAAGGTGGTATCAAGAGAAACTTTCTATTACCTCTACTTTCTAAGCAATTTCATATGTTTATTCCACTTGAACTTATATAAATTGCAATTTCTCCAGTTCCTTGTTTGGATGCCAATAGCCTAATGCAGCATTAGCCTTGTTATATGAACATTATTTGAAAACACGAACAGGATTGTCATTTTATGTGGTTGGCACTTGGCGAATGCCTCAAGAGTATTCTAACTTCTTTCTTAAAGTAAAGGAACAGAATTCCTAGAATTTGTTAAGTAATGTTCTGAAAGGAAGCGAATCAAAAGGGAAAAGAAACATGAAAGGTTCTTATTACTACGGGCAAAATAAAATTACTACCTTGCCTATGCACAGACTACAGCTTCTAGTTCCTCTGCTTATGTAGATGCCATCACCAAAATAATTAACTAAAGAGATGTCTTAAGCTCATGGCTTCCTGATGTCTTCAGGGTGCTGGTCCTGCCCTTCGTCCTCATCTGCGGAACTTGTTAGCTGTATGCTTGAATGTTTGTCAAGTCTGGAGGATCAAAGGTTGAATTATGTTGAGGTATGCTAATTTCCCCACTTCTATAAGGACTGATGATGATGATGTTGCACGTGTATATCTGACAGATGCGATATTTTACTCTCTCCTGCCTTTGGATCAAAGATGCATGCAGGGAATGTTGGCATCAGAACTGATAAGCTTGAAAGCTTGCATTATAGCTGTGGCTAAAAGATTCTCCAATGTGGGAAACTCTTGATATCTGTATAAAAATTGTTGATAAGAATTCACTTGATCTATTGGTTCCTCGCTTGGCTCAAATGGTTAGATCAGCTGTTGGCTTAAATACAAGGTTAGGATTGCCTGTACAATCTTATTCATTATATCCTCAAATGCTTCATTTCTTACTACTTCAATGTTCCTTTCTGTCTGATTCCAGGGTTGGTGTTGCTAGCTTCATAACCTTGTTGGTGCAGAGGGTCATGGTTGACATCAAACCATTCACAACAATATTACTGAAGTTATTGTATAGTGCTGTTCTGGAGGAAAGGAGTTCTGCCGCTAAAAAGGCTTTCGCGTCCTCTTGTGCAACTGTTTTGAAATCGCTAGTCTTCCCCAGGCTCAGAAGCTTATTGAAGATACTACCTCTCTGCATTCAGGTGGGAAAAACGATCAGTTATCTGGTGCAATTCTTATTAAAGCCTACTTGAGCAATGCAGCGGATATTCTTGGTGGATATAATCGGTGGTTATCCCTGTAATTTTTGTGTCGAGGTATGTGAAGGACACATTTATCTACCTTGCATTTTCTTGACTCCTAGTATTTCAAATATTCATAATGCCTTCAGTTTAGTTGAAATACAGAAACCTTTCCATGTGTATAAACAAAACTTTGTTTCAGGTTTGATGATGATAAAGACACCAGTGCTTTATATGAAGAACTTTGGGAGGATATTCCTACTAGTGAAAAGAGTAACCCTAACACTATATTTACCAGAAATTGTATCTCTTTTATGTGATGGCATGTCATTGTCATCATGGGCTGGTAAAAAGAAAGGTACAGTCCTATTTCATAATTTGCTTGTCCATATGCATATCAGATAATAATAGTTAAAAGTCCTGTACCTTGTAATATACTTACTGTACAGCCTTCTCCTTCCAGTCAGCCAAGGCTATAAAGAAGCTATGTGATATTCTTGGAGAACCCCTATCAGCACACTACCAGAATATTCTCAAATCACTTTTGAAAGAATTGCCAGGTCGATTCTGGGAGGTAATTCACACTATCATTCATTTGTTCATGGAATGATAAGTGGATTATCTGCTTATACATTGTTTTGGAAATTTATCCATGTCTTGGTTGTTGGTACATAATTAATTTTGTTCCCTTACATTTTTCAACAGGGAAAAGATGCTATTCTGGACGCATTGGCTTCATTGTGTTCTTGCTGTCATGTTGCTATAACTGCAGAAGACTCCAGCTTGCCAAGTGTTATACTAAATGCTGTGTGTGCTGCGTGCAGTAGGAAATCAAAATTGTACCGGGAAGCAGCTTTCTTGTGTCTACACAAAGTATTTTCTTCAATTCTCATTTACTTTTCGGAACCCGTTTTCACTAGCAGATGCTGTAGTGTTATTTTTTGTTGGCCAGCGTTTTCTTTAGTGGACCAAAATTTTCTTTAATAAAACAAATTTTAACTGTTGCAGAAATGTACCTTTTAGCATCATGCTAAAGATTTACTAGATTTTTCTTGAGGGTGTTAACTTAAGGTTTGCAATGATATAGCCTTTTAGATACTATTTCAAAATTTTAGAATTGGTACCATTTACCTAAGGTTATTCTTTTTCATCATTTTTCAGGTGATTGCTGGCATTCAGAGATCCAGGATTTTTCAATAGTGTGTTTCCAATGTTGTACGAGGTTTCTAACCAATCTGTCATTTCGAAGACAAAAGGCTCTGCTGGTGCGGGTGAGTCATTATTTTGAATATTTCATTCAGTTAATGACTATTCTTAACAAAACCTTTTGTAATTGAATACAAGAATATCTGATGCTCTCTTTTATATGTATAGCTATTTTGTAGGATAACATATTTTTTAGTTCTGAGGACCTTTTCAAGAATAGCTTGAAGCTTGATGAGGCACTTCCAGAATAATATATTGATACCCTTCGTGTAGCAACATTTCATTTACAGAGAGGCTTAGGATATAATTTTCAAATTTTGCTCTAGTATGGAATATGATCATTCTAATTTGCCAAATTTGTTATCACTGATTGTCTTTCTGAATCAATAAGTGAAGCCTCAACTAATCCTGACTTGATCTTACTGCTATGCAATCATCTTATATAATCTATCTCTATTGTATCTCCAAATACTTCTTTCACTCCTTTAAAATTTATGTATGGGTTATTTTCTGCAGAACTAGATGAAAGTGAAAGTGCTTCTATTTCTCTGGATAAAGTGCTCAATTGTGCAACATCTTGCATCAGTGTCGCTTTTCCACAGGATATTATCAACCAAAAGAAGAATGTTTTAGAACTAATATTGAATTCTCTCTCACCTGAGGAGAGTTGGCAAGGTATGATATTTGGGATCCGTAATATAATTCTAAACATCTTTGGATGCTTCTGTCTCATAGTTGCAAATCATCATAGTGCGCTCATATTATTTTTTTCATGAACAGTTAAACTATCATCCTTCTTGTGTATCAAAGAGTTGTGCCTGAAATTTCACAGTTCTGGTGATAGTAGCACATGGCCTCAAGACACAGCTTGCTTGGTTCAGGAGGTATATCCTGTAGTTTGTTTGTCTCTATATTCAGCTTCAGGTTGCCGTTGGTTTTCATTGGCTTCTGACATATCTTTTCTGTTTAATTTTTTCAGTTATTTCATTTGGTATCACCAAAATTAGTAGACTCCATAAGATTAGTAAAGATTGCTCAGGTAATTTTCTCTATGTCTAGTCCTCCCTAGCTGATGTTGAAATATATTTGCCTATTTTTTGTTACCATCTCATAACACCTTTACCGTGAGATGTCGTTGTCTTCCTGCTAATGGATAATAATTAACACTCAACTTTAATTTAAAATATGTGCCTATAACATGTCTTTTTTTATGGAATAAAGCATGTAAACATTGTAATATTGCACTTGACAGTTTAAAGCATGGTTTAATAGCATTGCCCCTTGATTTAGCAGTGTGTATACTTGTCTATGATTCCATTAATGATGATAAGAAAAGTTGCTGTTTTCTGTCAAATTTAGTTGTCATGTGTCAAACAAGATTATGTTTTCAGATAAATCACTCAGGTGACCATTATTGGAAAACTGCACCAAAGTGCTTTATGTGAGAGCAAGATTATGTTTTCAGATAAATCACTCAGGTGACCATTAGGGTCCACTCTATTTCTTTAAGATTCAAATCGCATTTGTCTCATTGTTTAACTACCTTTTTTAATCTGCTCAGTTCTTAATTAAATGCCCTGGCATATAATAAATCATGGAGGCTGGCAGATCTTAATTGATTAGCCCTGACATGTAATAAATCATGGATGCTAAGTTAGTTTGGTTTTCCTGTTGCTGGTCAGATGTCATGGCTGCTACCAGTGAAATTACTGGAATAAGTGCTGGCCAACAGAACCCTAGTGTTCCTGTTTCACAATACTAAAATCATTCATTCTCATACAAACGAATGGTGCAAAGGTTGTCTGGAATTGCCATAAGTAGTCCACAATATGAGGTTACATCCATGTAAATACTAATAGTAAAACAGACCCATGTGGCTGTTTCTTAACCAGTGGTTTTAGAAGCCTGTTGTTGAGTTTGCCATTAGCCTTTAGTATCCAGACCAAACCTTATTCCTCATGAGTCACGAGTTATCACCTATTTGCAGGTTCACATTGCTGCATCAGGTGCCTTCTTGATTTGAGCAAACTGTACAGAGACTTCCCCATTGTTGGACAGAACAGAGGCCACGTTCGAGGATGAACTTACAGAGCTCTGCGAGTCTGAAAAAGTGAACAAGCAAAGGCAATTCTGAAGGAATGCCTGGCCATTCTTAAACTCTCCCTGGAGTAACCATGACGACGGATTTAAAACCAGCACAGGGAACATGTAAAGTTCCCGTGGTGATTGTAAATTGATTCCGATATATGCATATAGTACAGAATATATGGCAGAAAGTTCTCCTCCATTTTATGTCAGGCAGGGCAAGAATAGGCACATGCTTCGATTAGTTTGCTCATTTGTTGCCTAGATCCTTAGCTGTGATATTCTGATACATGTGCGTGTAAGAAACACGAGATTGTCAGGCAGCAATAAACTGTTGCTGCAGCATTTCGCAGATTGTGCCGTCCATCCAATATAGAATAACGGTAAGGTACCAAAAGATCAGATTTTGAAAATTTTACTTCCCGTCGGCACAAAACCAGCGAGGCCCCCATATTGCAACTGGTGAAGTATGTAGACTGTTCCAAAACTTTATCAGTGCATTTTTGTTCCATATACTCGTTTCTGCAAACACAATTTGCGTCCAGGAAAACGCGCGGATTATTCAGAATCATCCAACGGCAGGTACAGCAGGTGTAGCGTTAATGCAGAGAGCTTTTAAGCTCATACTGGGATTTGGGAAGGATGTCTGTTAGCCCAGGCGCTACACTTTCTCACCTTTTCAATCTGAGGAGATGCGACTTTCGAGCCGAGATCTCTTTGTGGTCACGGTAGTAAGACTCTGCATTTGTACCAGTGCATCCTTCAACGCAGGTACAAATGTGTGAATCAAATGTTTTTAGAGTATGTTCACCAAAAGTGCAAACTAAAGTAAAACTTTAGGACGTTCATATGACTCGTCTGTATATAAGTAAAAAAAAAAACGTGGGATAACACAAACTGATAGCATTTCTCTTCAGAGTGCTTGAAAAAGGTTTTCAGGGACTCAGGTGGTTTATTTGCGCAGGAAGCAGTCACCAGTCTTGGAACAGTGGCCTGCCCAATTCCTTGAAATGTAATCACAAGCCTCCATGAGCTTGTTGAGGTCAACGTTAGTCTTTATAAGTAAGAGCCAAGCAGGAAAAATCTGGCTTTTTCATTAATTACTCATATATGCTAAATCACATCTAAAATGACTTTATTTTTTTTAGTATGGGAGGAATAATATTTCAAACAAATCTGAGCCATTGATTTTTTAAAATTTTTAAATTAATTAATTGATTAATTAATATGAGAAAGAAAAAAATGATCTCAAATCCCTTATCACGGCATGCATAGTGGACGTGCAATATAAAATCCCCTCATCACAGCGCAC